CACGCGTAGTATAGATAATCGTATGTAGATCATTAATTTGCCCGGTACACCACTGGCGAGCGTGCGTAACACACACTTATCGTTTCTCGTTTTCGAATGTTACCGTACTACATATGTAACGATCATCGGTATATTTATGATATATGTGAGATTATCTACGGACGGTTAATGTGCACGAATTTCGTGTACGCGTTTTATGTAAGAAACGTGTACATCTGCGAGACCATTCGCCCGTATTCGAATGTAAAAATTATCAAATCTCCGCTATACATCCGGTGCACAGAACCCGGCGACTGAGTCGACACACGTGTGATACACGAATATGCATCACGTACGCGGTAAATTCAACCACGAGTATTTAATGTACTGTACGTGTAATACAGTTCGAAGAACACGCGCGAACGTACGCGAAGTTTCAAAAAGGAATACTGCTCTCGAACCGTCGATGCATAAATATTGCTGGTACACCACCTCGTATGGCGTTGCACGTATCGTAGGTAATCTCGAGTTATATATGTTCGACGTGTTGCGTAGAACGAAACGAGAAAACATCGAAATCATTGCGACCATTTAAAGTGCACACCAATGTCGAGAAAACCAGCAAAAATATACCAAAAATAAAAAACTACTACTTCGTAAAAAAAAAAAAAAAATAAGAATAAAAATAACGCAACACGATAAACGTATTGCCGTGTGTTATAGTACCGTTTTTGATAAAATATCTTCGCCGGTTGCCCGCCGACGGCACCAAATCGTCGACCGCGGCTGCACTCGGATGCAAGATCAAATTGTTGTTGTTGTAATGGTGTTGATTGTTGTACTGGTGGTGATACGAGTTTGACGAAGCTGCGGCCGCGGCGGTGGTGATCACGAGATCGAAGTAACCGGCGGCATTGTCCAGGGCGGCGTTTTCAATGGCAGAGCTGGCCGTCGTCCCGCCGGTTGTGCTGCAGCATTGCGGCGGCGACGACCCCAGGGTCTGTTGCTGGTGATGGTTTCTGTGGTGCGACGAGTGCTGCTGTTGGAGATGCTGTTGTTGTAGTAGCACCATCATTTGTCAAATGAAGTGGCGGTCAGCCGCCGGCACGGGACGGGAAGAACGTCGAATTACCAAACAGTCGAACGGGAGTGAGAATACACACGGAGTATTCGAACACGAAACAATAAATAAGGACCTTGTTCAAGTTGCACAACGAAATCGGATTGTCGCCAACACGCAGAAACTATCCGCCTGAAATCCCGGCACGACACTGCCGAGATTAAACGAATAAAAACTAACAAGTGAAAAAAAACAAAAAAAAAAAAAAAACCCGAAAACAAGGAGAGGAAAAATATTTCGTCGGAGCGACACAATTCTCAAAATCGTAAAATTTTACCACGATCAGACATTGTTTCCGAGTAAATAATGGAAAAAAAAGAAACAACCGAACGCAATACGCCCCGCGACACCGCAACGACACTGAGACGAATGAGTCGTGGGCTCTACGCGGTGTAGTCTATGCGCGCGCTATGCCCGACCGAAATGTTTATCCCCACTTCCGTTGGTAAATGGCGACGGGCGGGTCCGATTATCCGTACCCTTCGCGTGTCCCCACCAGAAAAATCTAAATTGTACATATATTGTAACGTGTAGTTGCCGAGAAGATTTACCGACCAACAAAACGGTGTGCACAATAGTGTAATATCAAATAATGTTATGTACTATATTGTATACGCAAATAAGATACGCAATAACACAGAACGACGGTTCCAGCGGAACGTCGACTATTGTTTATCATCACCAGCGACAAAATGTAGAAAGAAAAATATTAAAAAAAAAAAAAAAAAAATCGACGATACGAACCAAATAGTGCGAAAACAACGAAATTCATAATAGTCACGTGAGGAGAGATGATACATGGTGTACGTTACTTACGCCCGACGTAGGTACATAAGACACCTATTAATATTATTATAATTATTATTAGCGTTGTTATTATTATCCAATAACGGCTACGTGAAGTATATGTATAAGTATTATACATCGAGAAGCTATGCGTGCTATTATACATCTGCTCTGTACCGCTGCACTCAATTAACAAAGCTCATCGTATCCCGCGATCTTCGTAATAACATCCGTTATAGGGCACGTTATAAATGCCCATTACTATATATATATATATATATATGCTATTATTATATAGTAGTTGTTTGTTTAGTCGAGTATATATTGTCGAGTATAATGAATGCACCTAAACGAAAAGGTAATAACAACCGCACGCGCATAAGGTAAAACGAGTTATACGTATAGTCCGAGAAGAGGGTAAACATAAAACTTTTATTGAGTATTTAGCACGCGAGTAAAAAGAAATTACGAGAGAAGAGCAATTTACATTTTTCTATATAGTACGCGAATATAACCTATTATGGTACAACATTTCGCACGATCATAATACATTTACAATTTTTAAGAAAATATCTATACCAATACATTATATTACGTTCGATAATAATTTAAATACTCATAATATTATTCGTTTTATACTGGCAATTATTTGTTTTCTTTTCGTTATTTTTTACATCAAGTGATAAATACATATTATATGTATGATGAATGCAAATGATTTAAAATATATTTGTTTAATTTTCTATAAAAATAAACATTGAGCAAATTGTTACACATCGGTAAGGTTAAAGAAAGCAAATATGTATTGTTAAGACAAGTTCCAAGTCTCTAGTCTGAACTATAGGAAACATGTTTTAGGTTCGTAGGAATAATAAAAATAAGATTGTCATATTATACTTCGTATAGGACAAGTCTCGGATACATTAATGTGTTTGTTTTTTTTCTCCGTCGGTAAACTATTATTATTTGAAAAGAAACAGTACATAATAATGTAAAATATTTTGAAAGTGATTTTTAGTTAGTAAATAAATATTGTGTTTAGTGCTTAAACAAACAGCTTATTTAAGTTATGCCATACAAAGACAACATGGTTATGTCTTATATAGTTCTGTAAATGAGTCTTTCTTTGTAGCTAATAGCTACACACAAACTAAAAACTCACGCATGGTTTTCAAAATTTTTTTTCGTAATTTCACGCGAGTTTATTTTTAATTTTTTTTTTTTATTAAATTCAAGACTGTTTATAATATTAAAACTATATTATAATTGATAATATATCGATATATACCTATGTATAAAAAACATCAGAGCCGGTACGACGCTGATGACGGTTCTTGTGTTAACCTATACATAGACGTTGGTTTTATATTATTGTAGTATAATAGAGTATGTACTCCAGAAGAATAATCGGAACTTCATTTATTGTACTCAAGTTCTAAGAGGAGAAGGAGGAGGTATTGCTTGTTGTACATCCGGTGGGCGGGTAATACGTGCGAGTCTTGTTCTTCTTAGCCCGTGCTATGCTATGAACCGCTTTTATTCTCGAGTAACTTGAAACCTAAGACGACGAGGACGGGCGTGCCATAACACGCCACCCTTTTGTATGTGTCATTCATATTTTCTTTTGCGCGCGCGCCAAACGTAAGCAGCTGGAGCAGCTGTATACTTTTTTCTGAGTATATAGGAGAACCGGAACTACTAGGTAGGTATTGCGTATAGAGGAGGAACCTATATCGCCGAAATAGAAGCAATAGAAATTTTCTTATAATATAGCTAATACATCGTTCAATCGGCCGGTCGTGAAATTTGATTTACACATTACTAATATTTGTCTTACAACCATAATGAAGTAATTTTACATATATAAGAGAAAGAGAGAGAGAGAGAGAGAGAGAATGAGAGAGAGATGACTTAAATATATTTAGGTAGATGTTTATAAAGCAGATTGTCTCCAACCAGCCAGGTTGTCTTACGATACAGCTTATAAGCACAGCTCACAAATATTGTTACATATCATAGTAAGATTGGATAGATCGAAATGTTAAAATAGTAATGTCCAATATGAATTGTTGTGCAATAACATTAGAAAAATAAATTGCTTTAAATTGCGCGAAACCGATAAATGTTTGTTTGTGTAATATAAACGTAAATATGTGTATGTTTAATTAATGTATAACATACATGTATACGGTTCTGTAGTATTGCATATCGTCTATTGGATTCAATACAATCATATATGTATAGTAAAGGTACATACTCAGCAGCCAATATGATGAAGAAGAATAACTTTGTTCGAAGTAATAATAATAATAATAATAATGACCGTCAAGTGCTGTTCGTCTGCTGCTGGGGTACACAGTTCTGTTCGGCCAGGTATATCATATGCCGAAGACCCCCACGGCGCGGCAGGGCCCGTAATAAATATTGTGATCGCTCGTCTATACGCTGCAACAGCGGGTGGCAGCCATAAGTAGTCGCGTCCTAAGCGTCCCCTCGATAAAATAAAATAAAAATTAAACGGGACCCGGCATTACGCAGCTAAATACCGTTTATAAGCCGAAACTGCAGGCCCAATTAATATTTAATATACAGTGCCCAACAATACGATTTTTTTTCTCTCGTTGTCTATACGCGTTATTATCATGGTAATAAAATAACGCGATGACGTCGTCGACGATATAAGTGCACTAGCCTACCTATATATGTCCCGTGTGACATACAGGGCATATTATATATATTGTTTCCGCAATCAAAGTCTTTAACAATATAATGCACAACATACACACGCACCCTGCGCGCTTGCGTTATGTTGTGTGCGTGTAATACAATAAATCCTCGTTACACCTCGAGAGGAATAAAAAAATATTCGAGATGTCGCGAAACATTCGTGATATCGAGTTTTACTATAAATACGCTGTTCGACATTTTATGAAAAACCGAACTCGCAGTATTGACGCGTATCATCTCTGGATTCCACTGCAATACTAAATTATAATACAACATTTTAACCCGGATTCTACGTCACATAAACCCAATAAACGTCTGTTCGTGCAATAGAACTGCGAGTGTGTATTTATAACGCAGAAGTATTATTTAACCGTGCGGCGCGTCGTACCTGTTTCGTATTGTTGGCCGTGATGAAGATTGCGATTTCGATGGTTCAGTCGGTGTGGAGGCGATTGCAACCGGATATGCTGTTGCGGTTCGGACGCGACCGGCGGCACGGGATACGCGGAAGAGAACATGTCGTCTAACTGGTGTCTGTTCTGTTGTTGGCCGAAATTTTCAGAGTAAAAACTTGATGCACCGTTGCTGTTGACGCCGTGCAACGAAGACGGATGCAATTGACCATTGCCACCGAACATCGTTATCGACAAGGCCCTGTCGGCATCTGCAAAAACACGTAAGCAAATAACAAATAAGTTTCATTCGTCCCGATGACAGGACAACGACCGTGGCGTTCGGGTGTTATAATTTCGTGTACGGGACGTAAACCGATAGAGCATTGCATCCGATTTAGGACCCGAAATTAAAATCTTCATACCAGAGTTGGGTGTCGGACGTTTAACGAAAAGTGTGGGTACTGCATTACACACACATTTTACTTACCATTTCGACCGACTAAGGATTGTCTATGATTCATTTTCGACCGCAGACATGATTAAACCTTTTAAATGAGACAATTTATACAATTTACACTTTTGTATCTAAGATAATCCGAGACCCATCTCGGCGCACCACACGTCGAGATAATAATATGTGCGAACACGTGCAGGCACGTCGATGTACGGTACTCGAACTCGTGGCACGTGCGCACGGTTGGGGGAGGGGTCGACGGGAATGAAAGAAAATGCCGCAATTTCCTCTTAGCCATGAAAGACACATATAGGTACTTGTTTTACACCCACGCTGTCTGTAAGGGTTTAATTCCGTGCACGAGGCGGTGCCGCAAAAAATTTAACGTACACCTACATGTAGGTCACCGTCTGCAGTACGAATCGTGACGTCATGACCACGGTGCAGTGCAGTGTTTACATTCTAAGGATATCCTGTCCACTACGTCACATCCACCATCAACCACCACCGTTGCCGCACCAAGTTTTGTTTACATTTAAAGGATATCCTGCTCACGACATACGCGCACTGCCTAATGCCAGACTTACTACGTCATACTCACCAACGGCGTGGTGGCCGTTTCGCTAAAAGGACGATAGCGGTCAAAGGATATCCTGCTTATACGTTAAAACCGCGCAGCCTTGGGCTGGCCCCCTTCTCGCGTTCCCCGACAAGGCCGTCGTCCCCCCCGAGCTCACGCCGCAGCCGCCTCCGTACTCACATCCCGCCGGATAACACCGTTTTTCTGTTCCTGTTTTATCCAGCGGTCGGCACCATGGTATTGTTAGTTGAGTCAGTTCGAATTTACCGACGATGCGGGACAGTCGCGATCCGTACGTAATTTGTATTCACTCGAATATTCGTCTCTTATTGTTTTCCTTTTTTTTTTTTCCATTTTTTCGAGTACAATCTATTATTTTGTGCGAAAATATTTCAGTACGAAATACATTTATTATTTTTACATCTAAGCACGGCAAACCGTATAACATTGTAACATAATATTCTAAACACACCTCAAAATAGAATACATATTATACGATAACGCGTTCGACATCGTCGAGTGTGACACATTATTACTTATTATTTATTACTTATCGGTTGTATGATTTTTTTTCTTCGTATTTTATGCTATGGTAGTTCGGGTGTATCGTACTATCGCTTTATTATCGCTTCGCGCGCCGGCTTTGTACAGTTTGTGTAAGCGGTAGTAGTCTAATCAACCCAACTGTCACTCATTGTACTCACTTGCGTACTATCGTATCGCGTTGGCTGATAATTCTGTTTTCAGTAGATCATTCAGCATTCGCGTCGCATTCGGTACGCATATTAAATAATAATAATATATAACTCGATATTATTACACATTATTACAATAATACGATATTTTACGCGGCTCCGATGTTGCGTTTTATACACAATCCGTCCTCGTACATGGTTACCCTTCACGATATATATATATATATATAAATGTTTTTTTTATTTCATTCGTTTAGATTGCTTAAAATAATGTTTTATTATTGTCTAAACAATAGCCTATATTATATTGTTACACGTATATGTTTAAATTATGTTTGTGTGTACGGCCGACCACTTGCAGTGTGTATATTAAAATGTGATGACCGGAACCACGGCTCTGCGGACACTAGGAATTTTTGTCGTTTGGTTCGCACGACACTGCTCCGTACAATAATCACAATAACGCATCAAAACAATATAATATTTCGGATAACACTTATAAACGTCACGACGGTACTGCTATTACCTCTAGTACGAATGCAGCACACGCATAAAGCACGGCCTACATTGTATATTTTACCGTACAACAACACCAGTAATCATTTGTCCGTTGATCGTGTATTGATCCGACGGGGATTTACCGCCGGGTACAAGGCATATTATGCGAGTGCACACGACCGCGTACGATTTCCGTACCGACATAGTTGAAACAGTAAATATGTGGGGGGGGGGGAAGGCGTAGGAAATAAAATTAAAATAACGTTCGCTCACCTCTTTGCATCATTTCGAGGTGTTCCCAGAGAATGTCGCCCAAGAACGGCGGCGCTTCGGCCACGAACCGTTCGCGTCCCATGTTGCACAGGTGCCTTCCCTTGCGGGCGTACAGCGGCTTGTTGCTGCTCGACGACGATATCAACTCGTCGTACGGTTCGTCGTCGTCGTCGACGTCGTCGTCGTCGTCGTCGTCGTCCACGTCCTGCACGTCCTTGTCCGCGTCGCCGTCGTCGTTGCTGCTCGCCGGCGACTTTCTGCCGCCGTTGTTGTTGGTGCTGCGGATGCGGCGGCGGCCGCGGCGGACGCGATCGCGAATCATCTGACTGCCGCGGCCCATGATCGTGGACGCGGTGTTCGGGCCGGCCGAGGAGAACTTCTGGAACTGCGATCCGCCGCAGACGACCCGGCGCAGCAGCGGCGTGGGCGGTGGCTCGGGCACGGAGAACTCGCGGTAGGCCCACCAGAACCAGTGCGCGGCCTGCGCTTCCGTCCAGAGTCTAGGATCTGCGGCAAAGGGAGACAAAAACAATGCACGTCGATTATTGATCGTGAAACGATTCGCTTCGATTAGGTTTAATAGCGGTTCAACAGGGGGAGGGGGGGATCGAAAACCATAAGAGTATAATACTGTCGTATACGTATGACGAACAGACACTAAATAATATTGACGCGGAGGTATTGACGATCGGACACGTACATTTTATTTTCAACAGCGGTTCGATTAAACGCGTTCAAAGTATTTTATACATAATAAGTACCCATTGTTTAGGAAATATAACAAAGAAGCAATGTAAGTGTTTATATATATATATATATATATATATATATATATACTACATTTACGCATCGAGTTTAAAACTTAACAGGACAACACAATATTTTCGATTGAATTTATTCTACTACCATCAAATTTTTAACGATTCGGGAACTTGAATATTGTAATAAAGTAAAACAACGTCGAAGGATATTAAAATCGAGATAAAGTAGTTTTAAGAGTAATACTTATATATATATATATATATACACACGAGTACCTAATTAATATGAATACGCTTTAAGTTAATTATTATTCTCAGGCGACTATTTGATGATGATACGTTTTTATATTTTCACAATAATTTAACATATGGATCACATGGAGATTTGATTTTTTTTATAATACTGATTACCAAAAAAATAATTAACATTTGTTAGCTAAACGTTTATCGAAAACAAAAATAAACGTTTCTAAGAGTATATAAAATAATGAATTTTGAAATAATTTTGTTATTTATCATAAAATATTATTATTAAAAGATCCACGTCGACCTACAGAGCACAAAATCAAAGATAACCCTCGTCAAAAGGTAATCCATTTTGTTATCATTTGACATGCAGCTATAATTAAAGATAAATATAAATCTCTATAACTGTAGTGGTATTGTAAGGTCGTAAATACAAAAATAAGAGTATATCTGAATAACATGTGTTGCTTTTATTTAACACTTTTGAGAAGCATAACCGATTTTCTCGTTTTTCACGTAATAGCTGTTAAATGATAAATAAACATGATTTTTATAATACCAATATGTAATTAAATTATTAAAGAAACCGTAATATTATAACTAAGGTCCAGAATTATATGCACTAAAAACGTACGAAATATGCATGCATTTATGCGATGGTTATCATTCAAATTTGCACTCAAAATATGCAAAAATATGTGTAAATATGCAAATAAAAATGCATTATTATTATTTATTAAATTTATTTAATTTTAAAATGTATACAATTCATCAAATAATTAATATTCAACAAAAAATATACTTTAAAATACAACAACAGTATTTTATATATTTTATTGAACTGTATGGAACTGAATGTTGTATTGAAATTAAATTGTATTTTGAACACTCATTCATTTAAACAAAAAGTCACAAACTAAAATCAATTTAAACAAATCGAGCAGCTTTTTATAATATTTTTAAAGTTATCTGGAGAGTTACTATCGTATTGGTACTTTTAGCAAACTTTATCTTATCATATTGTAACACAAAAATTAAATTATATAACAGTACGATTCACGGAATTTACGATGGACATGCGTTAAGTAATAAATAATAATATTAATAACTTCGCAATACTTTTTTTTATATATACATTATATTTCAGAAAAATGCTAAAATACTTAGAATAATTTGAAATGTTCCAAATATGTAAAAATATGCCAAATTTAATTTCACTTACCAACACATTAGATTAAGATTCAAATTTTTGTCTTGCCTAGCTACTTTTTAGTTTAATATATAAAAATATGTAAATGCATACAATTCCGGGCCCTAATTATAACCTTATATCAACTTTAATCTTCCTACATATTTTGTTCAAAAAAGTTAAAATGTTCAATGTAGAATGTTTAACGTTATTAGTAATTAAAACAGTTTGACTACATAATGAGGAAATAAAGAGGTATTGTGGTAATAAATGATGTAACAGATAGTACACCAATATCCTGTTAATTTTTTTATCCAAGTGTAAATACTAAGTATTACTGAATAACTAATAGTGAATATTTATTATGTATAGATATTTTGCACACTAAGAATCTTATTAATAATTATTTAAATCGTTAAATTTATTTATATTAATTTGGTTATTATTAATATAATGAATCAAACATTTGTAAAAAAAATAAACAATAATATTAACTACGCGTTTCGTAAGTCCTATTTTAAAAATATGATTTTAATCAAATAATAAAATTAAATATACAACAATACAGTGTACATTTATGACCACAAGGCTTCAAAATTCGTATAGCACTAAATCCTGCCTTTTATTTGAAAGGATGTCAGTGCGAAATTGTTTATCTCTTCATTCAATTATTCGTATAGATAAATCACTCTTCGTATTTGTCATTGTGCATCGTTATGGTTCTATAATGAATATAATATAAAAAATAAAATAATACGAAAAATGTTATCAAATATTAACTCATAGGTTATTTTGTTATAAATCTCCAACATTTGTATTGAAATACATAATGACATTAAAATAAAATGTAACGATCGGATGAGTTTAAATAAAGGGTTTCGGATAATGCCACTTCATATAATATTTTTTCTTTTTTAAACGAATTATGATAACCGACTAACTCACTTATCTAGCTACAAAACGAGAAACGCAAAGATTGATTTTGTTAACGTTTTTATGTTTGTATGTTTTAATGGAGACAGCAAATATTACGTCGACATCCTTTCTCAGAACAACAATATTTCATTGACAATGAATCTTACAATAAAAATATTAGCTATGTAAGACATTACTACAACGGAAAACAAAAACCCAATCAACAGATTTAAAAACGCGGTTATTATTTCATTTTTTTAAACATAGGTTTTCTAGATTATTTACCGGGATAAAAGTACGATATGAATAAATAACAAAATTATTTAATCGATCGTATAATGTTACATAAGTATACGTTGATCACGCCAACAACGCAAGTAACTCGAAAACAAAAACTATCATCGGTCTGTGATATAGTAATGGGTGTACTAAACCTAACCCCATTCGGTGTAATACGTGCATTAAACCCTCCGTTGCCCAGTACGCGCGCACATTATTCAATTCTCAGTGGTGTCTGACGCTTGTACGATTGATATTCACATAATAAACCAACAGCACTGCGGTGCGTATCGGTGCGATGGTCGTTACGCTTTCCCTCTGCATGTTATGTAAAAACGGAACACACCGACTACCATTTTAGATTCTTTATCGAACGTTATACTAAAGAATACATAAATTGAAGCTCTATTTTTCAGCGGGTTACAAAACGAATCGGATTCTATAAGCATGATTATTTTACTATTATTATTTTTACATTGTTCCTCGAAGGAATGGACGACCGCGAATCGTGATTCGGTGTATATAATTATTAACCAACTGTGCAACTTCTAACCACGCGGACTAGAAGATTTGGGACCGTTTAATTCATACGAAAATCGATAAAAAGCAGCACGACTATGTCGCTACACACGATGGGTTTTGATATTGCGTCGTCAAGTATAAAAGTTCAATATTGATAGTATAGCTGCGTGATATATGCTTGTCGACGAGCCGCCGCGGCCAATTCCCCCGTGGGAACCATGGACGTTATGGGGTCCGGCCGATGTATATTATTTTTTTTACAAAATTTACACTAGCTCGAGTCGGGTTCACACGCTACACTATACACGGCGGCTAAGGCAATGATGATGGCGTAATTAACCATACACTACAAACACACACACACACACACACACACACACACACACACACACACACACATTCACACCTCTGTTTGTTTGAGCCGCACCCAATACTACGATGGTAATAATTGTCATATGTGCATACAATGAATAGACTTAAATCTATATCTATACGTTAGGATTTCAAGAGAAATCTAACAAAAAATCCACTGATTATATTGTACCAATAGCACCCAGGTTATACCTACATAATATGCATAATATTATCAGCAATTACAACGTTATGATGATTTCGATCTTCGTGTACGTAATGAGAAAGATATTTAAAATGTTCGGATTCAACTGAATTCATATCAAACTCAAAAATATTCATTGATAAAAAAAAAAAATTAATAATTGTAAATCAGGTCTGTGCCTACGTAGATAAATTAGAATTAAATAAAATAATTTATTTTACAAGTGGCAGATTTAAATGGGATCACTTATTTAGAGCACAATGACATGTATTGTACTTCACGGTCCATTGGTAATAAATCGTTCAACCGAGAAAAAATATACAGAATACAGTTCAAGAAAATTCGAATAAAGTCGGATACATCACAATGGACTATAGGATATATTCTTTAAACACAGTAATATCTTAGTTCACAAATTGTAATACACAGCACATATCCTCTGTTGCAACACTTCAAATAAGATTTATTTATTAAAATATGAATTCGTTATTTGTGAATGATGAAGTATACAATTCATATGAATTATGAATACTAATTATGCAATAAAATGTATCAAGAATTATAGTAGATATACATAAAATTAGAAAAAATCCAGATAAACTATTTAACTATATGTATATATAATTATATTCATTCAACACCAACCAGTAATTATTAAATTTCATGTATATTTTTTTAAAAAACCACGATAAGAAAAAATGATTAACAAAATCGTGTTATTAAAATATTTATAAGGTTTGATTGTGAATTGTATAATGACTTATGCGTATATTTGTGAGTTCAGAATGTAAAATTCATTATTGAGAAAGAACTAGAACAAATTATTCAATTTTACATTTTAATCAGTATAAATGTTATATTCCATTAGGAATATAATAAAATGTTAGATTAAATATGTATCATATATTATTTAATTGTTACATAGAAACTGTTAAAAACAACAGTTAAATTAGCAGTAAAATATTATATATTGGTGATTTTATTGTAATAATTTAATACAACTCGATTAATTAATAATTATTATAATAAAAGCTTCGTCAGATATTTTTGAACTTGGTGGATTATGACTATTTATAAGTATAGTATAAGTAATTATAAGTATGTTAGGTCTTTCATCAGAGTACATGCAAAATATAGAAATAAGCAAATATTTAACTATGTATTTGGATTGCTATTTCTATATCCTCAATCGGCAGGGGATTGTTTTACCGACGAATTATCTGAAATACAACCTATGAACGAAAAACTTACAAAATTTACCGATTATTTAATAGAAAATTACATTCACATTGATCCAATATTTTCACCAGAAATTTGGTCAGAATAAAGCATTAGTATTTATTGTACAACCATTCGTGCAAATCTTTCCATTCAAAATTTAATTCACAATTTTATTCGCCACATCCTTATATATTTAATTTTTTAAATATATTATATACCTCGTATTCAAGCTGATACTACAATTATTATAAGAAGTTCCAATAAAATAAAACCATATCGGAAAGAAATTAGAGACAAAATACAATTTTTAGAAAACGAAATTCAAAAATATGACACTTGTACAATTTCAAGATATATAAAATATATAGATATATACTTATATATAATATGAGTATACAAAAATATTAGCCAATAAATATAAACCGTGGCGAATAATATAATAATATACTATTTTTTATATTTATACATATACTATAATGATATGTTCAGCTTAATAACTGTCGGTATTTTAATTATTTAATTATTACATTTTTTTTTTCTACACTATTGTAAGATTTTTGTATTATATTTCTAAAATAATTTTGTTTGTAAAAAAAAGATGCATTAAAATATGTAACTCCATATGTAACTATATAAAATATATAAACGTAACACCGTAAACCTTATGTTAAAATTAAAAATCAAACTAAACCTATTATTGAATGTAACTGACGTAAATTATTCTAGGAAATAACGCATGTCTTAAAGTTATTAATAATATTTTGGTAACCAATATATTTTTAAAAAAAAAATTTAGGGAGCCAATTTAAAGATACTTATTAAGGATAAAATATTGATTACCAGTATTTGGGAGCCAATTGAATTGCTCCGAGTTCAAATATATATAATTATATAACAAGAAATATAAGTACTGTGCACTATTTAGTTGTCCTTTTATAGAAGGATAATATAACAGTTTAGAAAATTCATTTGATAACGCAGCTGATGTTTGAATTTTACGCAAGATAGTGTACAAGACAATATTTCTATAAATCGTTGGTTTTTTTTTTTTTTTATGTAAACCAATTTTATTCAATTCCAATATTATTATTTTCTATAGTTTTAGTTAAAATTGAATCGAATTATACACAATAATTGGTATTAAAAATTATTCTATACTATACGTAAATGAACGTGATATATTTCATAACAGATAGAATAAATAATTTATAGTTGCTCGATACAAATATAACACACTAACCTTTTGGTACATTAAACTTGTGTCGTTCTTTTTCCCACGATGCGAATGTAGCTTGCAGCGCTTCAGTCATTTTCTTATTTGTACCTGGCGTTAAAGGCGGTGGAACCAACTGTCCACCAGCATTAGTATTTGTACTGTTTACGTTTGTTGCAGTCGGCGTTTGGTCTAAAAGAAAATTAACTCATAAATAAATGTGTAATTGTTTGTAAATATTATAATTTCAAGTTTTCTATTAAAATATACCTATTGGTTATTGGGACGAATGAGAATAATTACAATATTTAACTGTATTTATATATAGCAATACTACGGTTGATTTTTTTCTATTTATGGATTATAATTAGTTAAATGATTCAATGAGTGATTTGTGTCAAGTACTCCATAAATGTTTATAATATAGGGCAACCACGATGCGACTAGAATAGTATAAGTGTTTACTATAGTTATATTAGACAGTTAAGTTGTTAAAGACAAAAAATATTTTTATAACCTATGAATTGTATAAATGTGTTAATCTTGCTTAAGTTTTATTTACAACTGAATTATTTTATTAATCAGTTTACATATCTAATTACTTTTTAAAATTTCATAAAAAACGACTGTAAGCCAATTACAACCATTTTTATTAATTTGTAATCACAAAAGCTGATTAGTTCATATTATAATTTAAACCATGGATTAAGATTCTGAATTTCTTCCTAGATTGCGGCTTATTGACAGGGTGGACTTTCGTAGTGCGTAGACAAGTTTATGTAATATTATAACAAAGCCAACTTTATCCTAAAAATACTTGTAAAAGCAGAAACTATGATAAACCAATAGAAACAAGAATATTTTTCTCAGAATATTAACATCAGTGGTTAATTTATCAAAATATATCACAATTAAGTATATTATTACTAAACTGGTTGATGGATTTATCAAAAATAATTTTATATTGTACATACGGGTATATTTGAAAATTAACTAATTATGTAAAAAAACGTTTATTTAATTGAAACTATGCATATATACAATCTATAAGCTTTGTGTGTGTGTGTGAGTGTATGTGTGTATATATATATATTAAATGCAATATTGTTTTACATTATATAACTTGGTTCCCTAATTAAATTATTTTATACATGCGTTTCACATTCAACAATGTATAGTACATTATAATAATAACAGTGGCATAAAAACCAATTCTATTTTATTACAATTAATATTTTGCATACGCTATACCTATTGAACATTCTTAACATTCTAGTTTTTATTTGTATGAATTTTAATTGAACGGACGACCAATTTTGTCCATTTTAAGTTGCATTCATTTTACAATTCACTCTGCTAACAATTTATAGCGTTATTAAATATTAAGTAGTAGGGATCGTAACGAGTAAACAACTCTACACTACTACTATAACAACGATAAATGGCGAGGTATTGTAACAAAAATTACATCAGCAGCCTTTTTTATTGGACTTTTGTTGACTAGTTAAAACTACACGACTGTAATGTGATTTAAAATGATGAAAAATAACCAGCTCGTATTATTAAGACAAGATTACATATGCTTACTACAATGCACGGATGTGTATGTCTCCTAAAAAAGGTTATTTTCAACGGCATACCTGCATAACTAATTTTGATCAATCGACCAACTCGTCATGTATAAAATATAAGTTCATAAAAAGGAGACCGATAATTTTGTTAATTGGTAATCTCGTTATTCTCAAATAGAATTAGCCGAATTAAAAATCAATTCACAGTCTTACATGAACACATTACGATCAAATTTAAATAAAATTATTTGAAAAATAATCAAGATAAATGTGACGTTGTCCTTAATGTTTTATCGAGGTTAACATTACGAGCTTTGCGATTGTTTTCTCCGTTCCTCAACACTCGGGGAAAAAATGTCATTGTGTTTATTTTTATACATGATAATATTGTTATGCTTGACTTTATGATACGTCGCAGTCTCCGACTCGCACCCTGTTATAGTGGCACTAAAAATTACTTAACGAACGTTAGCTACGCATTCTGCACGCGGAATCGTTACTCTTGCGCGGAAAGGATGAATTCCATCATGGTCTACACAAATACTACCGTGCAGCCGATTCGTACTCGAACTTGTTCGCACGACAAATGAACAGTACTGGTTTTAAAAAATAATCAATTTACACACGGGCTACGTATCGCGCTATCTCTGCGAATAATCGAAACAAACGACGCATCGTCGATATCCACCACCTATGCGTGTGTAATACGCGCGCGTACGGTTCTTGCGGGCAAAACGTTCAACACGGTAATGGCATATTATTGAACGAATTCGCAGTCGAACGGTGATCGACAACAATAACAACAAACCTCGTCCTGTACAACTGTAAAAGCAGAGCGTTATAGATTTGTCAGAAAAAAAGGAATCAAATACAATAAAAAAAAAAAAAAAAAAACAAATAAATACTAATAAAAAGGGGCGGTAGGCGCAGCGTGCACGGACGGAGCGTACTGCAGCGGTTCTGGTCCTGCGATTGGACCACGCACAGGTGACGGCGGGCGTCGGTGGACCACGAGTAGGGGGTTTAAGCCGCGGTCGATGCCGGTTCGATCGAGATCACCGCGCTCGAGTGCGTTACCTGTCGCCGTCCGATCTGTCCCTTTCTCCCCGCGCGGCTCCGCGACGGGGCGCAGCGCGCGCGAACGCAATGCACGTACGCACGTCACACGCCGCGGTTGTGTACCATTCAATATTTGCATACATTACACGCGCGTTTGTACATTTTTTTTTTTATCCGCGCTCCTTGTGCACGACCGGGCCGGATAAACAAAACAGTAAAACCGCATGCGTACGCGCGTGTTACGGACCGCGCCGAATACGGTTTACTTTCGGAGCAACAGCCCGTGTAAATTAATTTTCATTTCAATATTTTCCCCATTGTATCTTTCCGGTACACGACGACGACGACGACGAACATTCCAGATCCGTTGCGCGTACGGTACGAACGGAAAAACGATACGACCCCACGACCTCTGTCGAAAATTACTGAGCGTTTTACTATTATTTTCGATAACGTAACGCTGTTGTTATAATACAACGAGACGTGTGTGTGTGTGTTGTGCCATTGCTACCCGACAGCCAATCTATATGAATTACGGACGAGATGAAATCGTTTAATCCCAACGCTATAGCATGTAATACGTGTACACGTACATAGAGAAGCACTTGCCGACGACCGTCCAGTACACTCGAGAGCGAATTAAGTAATTTACAAGTAATAAATAAATGAACGAACATTACGGGTTGATGATGCGGGTCACGACCCACACACTGTGATTAATAAATGCGTGTATACACCGGGAGAAGAAGGGAAAAAGGTCAACGCGACCGTAGTTGATTAAGACATTTAAAATAAGTAAATAGTCTGAATGGGGTCCAGCGGGTCCTAGAGTGTAATATCACGGAGTACGCGGTACAAACGTATAGTGTTTGTACAACAGAAACTACAACGACGATGAACCCAGATGAAAAGTTCAAGTCTTATTCTGCTGGTAGCAACACAAACTAATAACTCGTTAATATTTTATATTAGTTTACGTTGGGGTTCGATACAAAACGTATGGGATATTAGATATTTTATGGTACGCAACGTGTACATTGCTATTATAATGATAACGGAACGCATAATGATTCATTGTGTACGAAGACATAACATAAAATATAATATATTATATATAAATATTTTAATTGTATGTTTAACAATATGCCCAGTGGTGATACTCTTGATGATGATAATAATAATAATCATTATTATTATTATTATTATCATTAATAATAAGCATGCTATATAATTAATGTTTAAGATAATAACTGAATTTACAAAAATTAACATATTAATTAACATTCAAAATGTTTTAATTATTATATTATTATTTTTTTCTATATATGTAATTCTATAATGTTGTAATGAGCATATAATTTATTAACTGTTATGTGTTGTGCTTCAGATAAAGAATAAATAAAAAAATTAAAACAAAATCGTAAAAAAAAAACGTAATAATAAGTAAGTTGATTCACCCGCTTGCTTATTCATTGGTGTCACCAAAGGACGCGCATACATTACAATAGTAAATATTTGAATAGTAATGTTCACTATAGGTCTTGAATTCCGGGTCAAAATCGACATGGTCGTCGTCGTAACAGTAACATTTATATTTTAAATTCTTGTATAAGCGGTGTTCATTTAGGCTGGCGTTTGAAATATAGTTGACCATAAATGAATTACACGTGAACCCGTGAAGGTTTTATGCGAGAAGTCAAGAAGACAGTTTAGATCGCAGTAGCATTAGTTACGGTTTTTATTATTTATAGATGAGAAAATCTTAACTAAACTTCCAGTCTCGGAGTGGGTATAATTAAATGTTTTATTAATTTAGGTAAGAGTAATCATTAATTATACTCATCCATTTCTTTCCGAATAATCATAGTCGGTGTTTTTCAATTTTAATTCAAAATGTATCGTAATGAAAAGGTAGAGTTATAAATGTTGTCATGTATAAATGAAATAATAGTTTGATTTACTTTAACACGCTTACTACCATTCAATCTTGCCATAGAAAACGCAGTACGTACATTTTCCATGTGACCAATGTAACAAATCGGAGAGTAGGATTTTCGTAAAAAAATCTGGTTCATAGTTTCTTTATTTGAATTTTTAGTTGTATTTTTATAGTAAGTTAAAAGTAAATTTTAAACACTTATTGTTTCAAAAAATATAGTAGTAACAAATATTATAGAGTCGAGTTTAAAGTATTAAGTCTAAAATGGATAAATATTATACAATACAGTTTTGCTTTCTGATTTGTTCGAAAAACGACGGAAAATTTACGCTTTCCTTAAAATTATAACGCAGCTATTTCGAGTCTCTATAAATGATTATTTAGTTGAAACAGATGTATAGTAAATTATAAGTTAATAAACGTTTTGAAACATTATCTTTAAAAATAAGATAATATTTGAATTAAAGACCTAATTTACTATTTAAAATGATATTTTACATACGATAATGCAATAACCTATGAGATCAATTAGGCTTCGTTAAAATCATATAATATACAACGTATATACGTAAATACACACGTTTGAGCTGGTATAATTATTAAAATAAAATACTGATAAAAAG